TCTTGCATTCAATACTTTTTTCCACTGAATGTATTTGTGTTTGGGGTTGGATCTTGAATCTAATAAGAACCTTGCCACCTATCCTAAGGCTTTAAACATTTTAGTTGGCTGTAGTTACCCCTTTTAGTTTTTAAGGCATACTTTAGTAGACTAAAGGCCAAAGGTGTTCATTTTTTCATTTTTATTTCTTTCTTCAATCTAGTTGTTTCACATACTTGTGGACCATTATAAAGTTATTTATATATTTTCATGCATTAATATTACAATAAAAGAAGAGTAAAAGTAAAATCTTAAAATTTTATTTTACTTGATACAATTCTCAATCTATAAAATTTTTTATCTCCTATTTTAAAATGACAAATTAAGTTTCTCTATAACTTTTTTTATATTGACTATTTAACAATTTTTCTTACTAATTTTTTCCATATCAATTTTTTTACTAAACACAATTAAATTAATAATCTAATAAAATTCTAACAAAAATTCATTACAAAACTTAACATTCTATATAGTATTTTCCTAACTACTTTTTTAGTAAAAACTTTACTAGTAAAGTGGTCATCTAACTAAAAAGACCCTACTGGGAGGAGGATCATGAGTGACTAATGTCAACTGGTCATAAGCCGATTTTGAAGAAAACTTACCGGAATAAGAATCTACCCCCACAATAATATCCTCACCAGCACATGCACTAGGTGGCTAATTGCAAAAATGCGAGAATAGTTCTTCCTTTTCACCTCATAAAGAAAGGGCGATAAGAACGATCAATCTCGGCATGGACTGAAGCTAGTAATTTCACTGCCTGCATTGTATATGTCGCCAATGCTTGCAGAATAGATCAAGTGTAAGGCGACCAGCAAAGGATAAGTTTCAGTTTTAACTGGATAACCTGGCTTTGACTTTATCAAGCAAATATTTGAATGTGGCTTTGTCCACTCTTTATGAAAAAAGAGGAATGCCCAAGTATGTTCCCAAATTGCGAGTAAAAGGAAACCATTTGGATTCGGCTCACCACCAGTGTCCGAAAATTAATTTACGATGAGGTAGTAATATTTGTCCAAAAGCTCAAGGCCCAAGTAGGGTTTTTAACCTTTCCAAGCGAAGGCCTAATAAAAAAGTGTGGAGACCCAAGAAGTTTTATAACAGACGACCCAATTAGCTAGTTTATAACTTTATAACTGTTGTAGTCTGTTCAGTTTTTGGATGTCCTTCACTTTTTTTTTTTTAGTTTGCATAAAATCTTAATTATTTATATCATTACTATAAATGATTGAAATTTATTATAATTTTTTAAATAAAAAATAAATATTTTTTAAAAAGTAAGATTAAATAAATATCAATAATTTATAGTAGAGAGATAAATACATATTATAATTACAAATAACATTTAAGTCTAATTGCCAAAACCAAAGGAAAAAGTTGGAAACTATATAGATGGAAACCAAGAATGCATTCAATTTTGTTGAAGCATCAAATTTCTAGATTCACTTGGGCGTAGTTGAAAGATTTGGTGATTGATTATGATTATTGTGAGTGTAAACAAAAAAATTTAAGAGAGTCTTGTTGCTTATTGCTGCTTTATTGTTAGAAGACTGAATACTTTCAAGGCCAACTTAGAAGAAAAAAAATCAAGTTTGCATCCAAATGCTTCAGTAATATGGATGTTTAATGTAAGGTTGAAAGGTTTGGATTCTTTGATTGGTTGGGATACGATTTGGAGATGTATATTTGTGGGTATTTGTTTATGTTTTC